ATAGTATCAAACTATAATGATTTTCCTTTTCCAATAATTTTTCTATAATGTATTGAGTTATTTTTTTATAAAAAAAATCTTTAATAAATCTTTATTTTAAGGAATAAAAGTAAATTGTAACTTAAATAAGAGTTTATCTGACATCTTTAAAGTCTAATTTGATCTAACCTGTTTAATAAAAAAATCAAATTTAAACTAAAAAAAAAACATATTTATATAAAAAGATTAGACTTAGGTAAATCTGTTAGACATGATAGTTTAACCTATTTATTTATATAATATAATAAAAAATTAATATATATATATATATATATTATTATTAAAAATATAAATAAATACAAATAAATTTATAAAATAAAAATAAATTGTTAATATTTAAAATATTTTTTTATATAATTATTTTTTTTTATTGCAAGTTTATAAGTTTACGACTTGTGTGTGAGTATATATTAATATACAATTAAGCATGAATATTGTCTCTTCAATAGAAAATAATTAATTTTTTTTCTTTTATTTTTTTAAACTTAAATTTTAATAATATTAAATTAATTATATTTTTAAAATAAATATATTTATATAATATAATAAAAAAATTAATATAAATATAATATTAAAAATATAAATAAACAAATAAATTTATAAAACAAAAATAAATTATCAATATTTAAAATATTTTTATACAATTATTTTCTTTTCATTATAGATTTATAAGCTTACCACCTGTGTGTAAGTATATGATAACTTATATGATTATATATGAGTTGTTTCTTTAATAGAAGATGTTTTTTTTTTTTTCTCTTATAGTCTTGAATAGCGGTCATTTGAGCTGCTTGTGGTGTTTTCTGGACTATTATCAAATCCATAACTTCAAACTTCATCAGTTCTAATAATTTGGTATGTTGGTTACATGTTTTTTTCTAAGCCAATAAATTGTACTAATTAATTCGGTGTTACTTTTTCGAAGTCACAATACAGTTGCTAGTCTCTACTCAGTACCCTTTGGAATGGTGCTGCAACAAGGTTACATTCATTGTGCACATTTTACATTTTTTGTCTCTATATGTGAGTTAATTAACTTTTCTCCTCTATCTCATTATAGCACAAGGATTTCAAATGAATTAGGAGCAGAAAACCACGTGCTGTTCGTGTTGCTGTGATGACTGCAATGTCTTTAGCAGCCAGAGACAAATATAGTAAGCACAACCATCTTTGTATGTTGTCATGTTTATGGTTATATATTCAGCAACGAGAAGGAAGTTGTTGATTATGTCACTGTCTCGTTTCTCTATCTACTATACTCGACAGCAAACAAGGTGTTCTCGCAGGTAAATTTCTTTCTTTTCTATCCCTAGAAATAGGTGAGTTGAGAAATTGAAATAATAAAAAAAATAAGAAAAAATTGTATATATGCTAGAAAAATAGAAAAGAAATAAAAAAAAAATATAAATATAGACCAAAAATAATAATAAACTTTATAATTTTTTTTTATCAACAATGCGACATAATTTTTATATGTTCTAATTAATCTCTTAAACTTGTGATAGAAAATGTGAAAAAAATCTATCAAGAGAGATTAATTTGTACCATTCTGTATTTGTCTCTTATTTCAAGAAACTTATAGAACTGTTTTGAGAGAGAGTCAATTTTTCTTTCTTTTTCTTTCATTCAGAGTTGAGTACGGAGTTAGGAAGGTTGGAGCAATTCTTTCTTTTTCTTTCATTCAGAGTTGAGTTACGACTTGACTTCAAAATCATATAAGCAGAGTTTCTTCCTTTTCTCTTCTCCTTTTGGCAAATTTTGACTCCCTAAAGAGGTAAAAGAAGTTAAAACTTGAATCATTGCTATATTTTGAGTTGCATGTAGTTAGATCATCATCAAATAAGAGATTTGTGGTTGAGTTAAGTAGATTGCATGTCTTTTAGGGTTGTGGGTGTTCTTGAATGAGTTGGGTAAAGATAGGTGATCTTGGTGTTATGATGGATGCATGTGATGTTTTATGACATTTTTAAGCTATATGTACAAATCTAGTAGTGAAAATGAGTTGTAAATTTTGTTTAGAGAGAAAAATTGTTGAGAGTAGGTGAGAAACGAAGGGAAGTCATGAAAATGTAGAAAATTCTTACACTTAGCGCTATAGTCATGATTGAGCACTGCAGTTGTGAGGGAAGATGAAATGACGAAAGTTCGACACTGAAGCGCTGAATTGAACGTTGCAACAATGGGGATAGATGACCGAATTTGGTCTTGATGTCTTTATGAAAGTTGTAGTCTTAAATATTAACTTTCTAATGACTTTATAATCACCTAAAAAGGAGGTCTAGAACTCTAGTTATGACTTTTATAGAAAATCTTTTTGCATGAAATTTATATACTTGTTGCATGATATCTTAGATTGACGTTTGTTGCTAATACTTTTATTTAATTATTATTGAATCGTAATAAGTGTTGTGACTAAGTGAATCGTTACATAACATACAAATGAATTTTAGTGCTTCAAGGGAATACTCTATTTGCCATTTTTTTTCTTATCTTTTATTTCTTCTACCAAACACACACTTTAATAGTGATATATTTAATATGATGGAAAAAAAGAATGACAAAATTAACTTTTATTCCTTAATTTAATAATTTTATTTAATTATTTTAAATATATGATAATAAATTACAAAAAGTATTAATAATATTTTTTTATTAAATGAGAAAGATTTATCAAAATTTGTATTTTTTTTAATATATTTTAATCGATACTAGAAAAGTGTTGGGATATGAATGTTTAGTAGCATTATTTTAAGTTTTTTTTCCTTTTTTTTAACTGAACAATGAATAATTTTTATATAAAAAAATCTTACAAACATTTTTATTTTTTTTGGTGTGTTTTAAGGGATTATCAAGGGGTGTGAATGACAAAACAGGGGATTTTCTGAATATTGGAGCGTTTTATCTAATTGGGATTCCAGTGCTGCCTTCTTGTCATTTTGGGTGCAAGAGGAAAAGGAATTTGGATTAAAATAAATACAAATAACCTGCTATCATAACTAGTTGCATAAATTGGGGAAACCAGGTATTCTTCAGCCTTAGAGTTAATGTTTGTTTTCACGTTATAAAAAAAACATTAAAAATTGGAAACAAATGAAAATAAGAAATTATTTTTTGTTATTTTTTTAGTTGTCTAATGCAATTATCAAAATGTTATTTAATTTTCTATTTTATCCTTTATTTATCATATTAATTAAAAAGTGTTTATGTTAATAAAAATACTTTTATTCTATTAACTAATAAAAAATTATCTTAAATATGACTTTTTAAAGTAAGTATTATAAAAGTAAAAAAAAAATGCATATTAAATATTAATATATAATTAGTGTGTACATAAATTAAATCAAATACCTAAAGTTTAAACTTAACTTAAAAATCATAATTAAATTATTTAAATTCGACTCTTTTAGTTAAATAAATATAACTGAAAGTTTAAGTTTAACTCGTTAAAAAATTAAAGTTTGAGTAAATGATAATTTAAAAATATGTGTTTAAGATTTGATAATTTAAAATTTGAAAAAGTTAATTCATACAAAAATGTTTTCATGCAAGTAATAATTTTAATTTCAATGTGACATATGTGTAATAAATTTGGATTTTTCAATCATACATGAATATTAATCACAAGTTATATAATAATTTTATCTTTTAAAAGTTAGATATATGAACAAGATAAAGTATAAAAAAAATTCTTTTATATCTTTTAATAAATTTATGTCTTATCTAATCAAATTATTAAATAATATGATATTATTTTTTAAATCATATATTTATTCTTATATAAAAGGGATACAATAACTTTTTAAATTTCTAAGAAAAATTTATAGTCTCTTTTCACACACGCACGCACACATATATATCTTTTAGTCATGAAAAAGTAATTATTAAAAAGGTGATTCTGTAATTCAAATATATCATTAAAAAAATAATTTTTTTGATCATAAAAGAAAATTTTCATCCGCATCTATTGAAAATATAAACTAGATGACAAAAGTATTTTCTAACATAAATTCTAAATATAAATTAGATGAATAAAAGTATTTTCTAACATAAATTAAGACAATCATATAAAAATACTTTTAAATACCAGAGTACAATAACAAAGTAACTATTTAAGTACACTAAACTAGAAACATTCTAAATTGAAAAGAAAATAAATCACAATACTCATTAATAATTTCTACTAAGAATACATTTTTACTAATGTCGCAAGAATATTTTATTAAAATTTATAATTTATACTGAAAATATTCACTGATGTCGTAAAAATATTAGTTAATATTTAAAATATTTAAATATTATATATATATATATTCTTTAAATAAATTATGCCAGATAACGTAAGAATTTTCTAAAATATTTATAATTTATAATGAGAATATTTTCTCTATTAATGTCCTAAGAATATTTGTTAGCATTTAAAATATTTAAATTATATATATATATATATATAATAAGTTATGTCAAATAAATAGTAATAAATATTAGATAATTAATACAAAGTTATAAACTGTGCTATTTAACAATTATTTCTTTAATTTAAAAATAATTTAATAATTATGTCCCGAAAATTTTGGAAAGAAAATTATTAATACATACATCTTTATTTTTATATATAAAGATATATAGAATGATTAACTATATAATGATAATGCTGTACAAATAGAATATCTGATATTTTAAATTAATTTTTTTTTATCATATTGATTACATGTTTTTATTGTTTATTTAATATTTTTCAAAAAAAAAAAACTAAAATCAAAAATTGATCCAATCAAAAACTGTTTGAGATATAATCATAATTTAAATTTTAAAACCGGATAGATTAGATTTGATGATGAATTAAGATAATAAAAATAACTAAATTTATATCTTTAAAAATATAAATAAAAAAAAATCCATCCAATTCAGGAAACAACACCCCTAAATCCAATTATTTGGTAAGATATAAAATTTTGTTCGGTCTCACCAGGACAAACACCTTTAAAATAGTGCTATAATGTTCTAGGACAACACTTTCAACCACGCTTAGCATACAATACAAAATTTTAAAGATCGTTTTTCTAGCGGTGATACAACGACCCTTGTAGTTAGAGAGGATATGGAAAAGAGTCTCTTAGAGAAGGAGGGTGCTTCACCCACAATAACATGGAGTTGTATCGTTCAAGAGATGAAAAGTGTCGGTTATATAGCAGGTCCTATGATTGCTGTCACTTTGTCACAGTATTTTCTGCAAATAATAGCAATGATGATGGTTGGTCACTTGGGCAAGCTTGCTCTCTCTAGCACTGCCATTGCCATCTCTCTCTGTGCTGTCACTGGTTTCAGTCCTATTGTAAGTCTTCTTTTCCCTTCTCATGGTCCTCTCTCAAGTTTTATTGTATTGCACCCGGTTAATATATATGAAACACTTGTTTATCAAAGAAGGTTAAATTATTAAAAAGAGAATGAAAGGAAAGAGACATGAAGATGAAAAACATAGCAATTAATTTGCCTTATAATTTTTTATAATTAGATGAAAAAAGATATTTTTTTTAGCAATATCATATATAACTTTCAATGCAGATAAATTTGTTTGAATTGGTTAAAATTATTGTAGATGACAAAATTTTCTTTTCAAATATTTAATACAACTTTATATTTAAAATTTGAAAGTTGATCATTAGTAAAATTGAAATAATGTTATGTTAGTTGATCCATACATTTAATAGTAATTAGAATAAATTATGATATTCTATTTGAATTTGAGTTTAATTTAATTTAATTTCAAAAGTTAACTCATGAGGTTGATAATGGGTATTTAATCTCCAACAATACCAACAATTTTTCAATTCAATAGGATAGTAAAATGAATGCATAAGAGGATACTTGGTACACCTGTTGTGATTAATATTTGAGATTGAGAATTAATTGCATTTTGTATTTTGAACTCGTGAAACAGTTTGGAATGTCATGTGCACTAGAAACTCAATGTGGGCAAGCATATGGAGCACAGCAATATCGAAAATTCGGTGTTCAAATTTACACTGGTATTGTTTCTCTTACTTTAGCTTGTCTTCCTCTAACTCTTTTGTGGATCTACTTGGGGAAGATACTCGCTTTACTTGGCCAAGACCCTTTGATTTCTCAAGAAGCTGGAAACTTTGCCTTGAGCATGATCCCTGCTCTATTTGCTTATGCAACACTTCAGTCCTTGGTTCGATATTTTCTTATGCAAAGTTTGATCAGTCCCCTTGTCATTAGTTCTGCCATTACTCTATGCTTCCATGTAGCTTTCTGTTGGCTACTAGTTTTTAAGTCTGAATTGGGCAACTCCGGAGCAGCATTTTCTATTGGAACTTCATACTGGCTGAATGTGATTTTACTCGGATTATATATGAAATTCTCTCTTCAGTGTGAAACAACTCGTGTCCCAATTACAATGGAACTATTCCATGGGATGGGAGAGTTCTTCCGCTATGCTATTCCTTCAGCAGGTTGGTGAGTTTCTTCCTCTTATTTCTGATCTTTTATGTTATTGCTGATTTGGTTTTCAACCATGGTATGTTTCTTACATGTTTGATTATGCAGCCTTGAATGGTGGTCATTTGAGCTGCTAACCTTGCTTTCTGGCCTTCTACCAAATCCAGAGCTTGAAACTTCTGTCTTATCCATATGGTATGTACACAACTTTACTGTGGAAATTGTCATTCGGAAATATTGATTTCCATTGATGTAAGTGGTGCGTGCTAATTTGTTAACTATTTTCTGATCAGTTTATCAATCATCGCGACAATCTACACAATCCCAGAATCAATTGGTTCAGCAGGCAAGGTTTTGACCCACATAAGTCCCATCCTCTCATTAATTTGTGCATATTCATATCCATGTACAGTAATATAGTAAAGGGCTTTTTGTCCTCATTCTGATTGGTTTCTCTTTTGGGTGGGTTGTTCAGCGCTAGAGTTTCAAATGCATTAGGAGCTGGAAATCCACAAGCAGCACGAGTGTCTGTTTCTGCTGCAATGGCTCTTGCAGTTTTGGAGGCCATTCTTGTGAGCTCAACCATTTTTGCTTGCAGACATGTTTTAGGTTATGTATTTAGCAATGAGCAGGACGTGGTGGATTATGTCACAGATATGGTTCCTCTTTTAAGTCTTTCTATTTTACTTGACACCTTACACGGTACTCTTTCAGGTTGGTTCTTTCTGTTCTCTATTTTTGAATGCTCACTACTCTTCTTATGCAATGACTCTGAGTTGTGCCATAAAATATAATACTTATACATTATAGGCATTGCTAGAGGATGTGGATGGCAGCATCTGGGAGCATATGTAAACCTTGGAGCTTATTATGTTTTGGGAATTCCAACTGCTGTTATATTGAGTTTCTGGTTACAATTAAGAGGTAAAGGGCTGTGGATTGGAATATTAGTTGGTGCCTTCAGCCAAGCAGTTATGCTAGCTCGTATAACAAGTTGTACAAACTGGGAAATCCAGGTTTGCCTCCGCAATCCAAAAATACCATTTTCATAATGTTATATTTACTAAAATTTGTGATTTTCAATAAAATTTCAATTATTGACATTTGACAACACATTGTTGATAATATTTCTCATCTCGTGAAATATCAAACTAAACCTTTTGACTTTAAAGTTTAAACCACAGAAATTATGTTTACAGTCAATGAGAAGTAGCATGTTAACTCATGAAATCTTATTAATATTGAATTTTGAACATGTACTTCTAACTTTTTAGAGTAACCATGGACTACCAACTGAAATGTACTGATTTCTCGAATGTCTGAGATTGCAGGCAATTAAAGCAAGGGAAAGGATATTTCAGACAAGTTTTGCTGTAGAAGACGGGCTAGTTTAAGCAAATGAGAGAAGATCAAATTTTAGTTACTTAGAGGAGGAAAAAGTTTTCTAACAGAACATGTGTATTAATATTGATCTGTTATTTTTTCTCAATCCAAGTTTTGTTAGGGTTATGTATTGTGAAGTAAAGCAATTTGATGGATTCAAGCAGAGTAGTAGCATTTCAATTTCCAATTCCATTAATATCCTTGTGTACAGTATAACAAAGTATAAATTACATAGTAGTTCCGATTAAAATACAATAATTTTAGTTAAATATAAAATTAATGCATTAATGATGTAAAACAATTTTACCCTATTATCTAAACTTAATAATCATGTATATAAGTTTATTAATTTTTATGATAATTTCTTTAAAATTCAAATCAACAATAAATTTTTATTGGTTGATATATATTTGTTTTTGTTAAAAATTATGATACACGAGACAAATATATTTATTATACATCTAATTTATAAATAGAACATGATAATTGATATAAGACAAATAAGATGAAAAAGGACAAAAAAAAATGCTAATAAATTACACTTGTTATCATATTGTTGTTGTACCAAAATCATTGTGATCATAATCATTGACATTCATCTCTATCATAAGTGCTTATTTATTTATTAAAATTTACGAAAAAATTGATATATGATTTTGAATGTACAAGTTTTTTTCTTCTTCTTTCATTTTTTTTTAATTTGAAGCTATATTTTTTGTTTATATTATTTTGTGTTCTTTTTAATTACATATGTATTTATTAAAAAGTTGAGTAACTATCATAAATAATATTTACAACTATAATATATTGCCTCACATTCTTATTATTAAATTTAATCTCATATATCAATATAAATAATTATGTTATTTAATTTTATTGAGTTTATAAAACAAAATTATGATTTATCGATTTTACTTTTTTTACTTATTATTAAGTTTTCATAGGAGAAAAAAAATGATAAATATCAATTGGAGGAAATTTAAGAAATTAGAGAGAAAAGTAAACATTTTCACAATTTTTAATAGAAGCAAACAAAGAAAAAATGATTTTAGATGATATCACAAATCCATCACTCGTAGATAATTTTAATTGTCATCAAATTTGATTAATCATGAAATAAAAATAAATATATGGTGAATTTAATAATTTTACAATAATTATTTTAAAATATATAAATAAATTTTTATTAATTAACAAAAAAATATTTATACTCAACAATATATTGAAATTAAATTATATATAACTAATATTTTAGGGTTTACTAGTACAATAAACAATATAAATATATTTTTTCTACATATTTATAATTTATAACAAATAAATAATTTCAAATATATAAATTATATTATAGTTAAAAATTATAGTAAATATATATTTTAAATATAAATTATATTAGAAATAATTTATCACTTAAATTCTTATTTATAAAATCTAATTTAAAAATAGTTTTTTGTTCCTTTATATAAGATTTAGTTCATATTGTTTGTTGGGACAATTATTTTTAAAATATTTCTAATTAAAATATATTTTCTTAATTAAATGAAATACATTAATTATAAATTCTTCAAAAGACGTATTTAATTGGTTAAGAGAACAAACTTAATTAGGATAGAAAAGTAGTGTAGGACATGATCTAATTGATTAAGAGAAGATAAATATTAGTTAAGAAAGAAAAATAGTTAATGATAATTTTGAAGACAATTTTATTGTTATTAATTATATTAAATATTTTTGTTAATTTTAGTGCATTAGATATTTTTGTGATTTTGAATTAGTATCTTAAGACTTCACCTTAAATTAATCTGATTTAGTCAATTGGTAAGAAAAATCGGTGCATTAGATATTTGATTTTTATATATATAAATAGAGATAATATATAAAATTTATTGACACTCGAGACTTTAAAAAAACAAAAAACAAAACTGATGACTTAATTTAGCTTCGTGACTTTTCTTCATTTATTATCTTTTTAATTTTCTTAAAAAGTGAAGAAAAAAAAACATACAAAAATAATCTCCAAAGCAATAAAAAAACTACTAACTATTAAATTTATATTTCAATGATATCAAAACAAATTTAATAAGAGATAAAAGTAATTAAATATCAAAAGCATTGTGCAAGAACTGAAGAACATTCTCTTTGAAATTAAATTAATATATAAAATGTGTTGTTAAATCGAAACAAACAATTTAAGTTTTCTTATAATTCACCATTTGAATTAGAGCATTAAAAATATTATCTAAATGTCTAATAATAAATCGAAAAATAATTACCTTTCAATATTTTTTTTTAGATTTATAGTGACCTGATAATATTGCTTTCAAATATTTTTAACTCATCTTTCATATAAATAATATAGACATGACATCATAATATGACTGAATCAATTTACAAAGATATTCATAGTACCTGGTGGAATCCTATTGTATTGTATGTAAATGTCCTTCAAATCAGCGATAATCACTATATATGGAGCAAAATTAAATTTTGAATTAGTATAAAAATTTAAATAAGTAATTTATGACATACATTATTGTATACATTATTAAAAAAAATTAAAATTTACTCATTTTCCATAAATCAAATAACAAAACATAATATTTATAAATTTTTAAAAAATAAAAAAATATTTTTTTTATAGAAACTAAAATAAATACATACTTATTTTACATAG